CCATGGCAGGGATCTCCGAGAACAGAATTACCATTTATCACAGCACTTGGGCTCTGGCAGTTGGCAGCGCCGGTTATAAATAGACCCATTAACAGCCTGCAATGAATCTTTAAACAGCACAACATGGGACAAACGGAGGCTAAAAATAGCTCTGCGCCAAGATGGGAGCGGCTGTCCTCAGGAGCACCTTTTGCCTTTTGCACGGTTTCCAGACAAAGTCTCCAGAATCCTCCCTCTGTGTTATGTAAATGACCAGAGCTTTATCTATAGCACAAATGTGATGGACAGCTGTTTAATTTTAAGAAGGCAGACAGAAATCAGTAAGTGCAACCGAAGAGCGATCTCGTCTCTAACAGTCTTCCCGGGATAGATAAAGAAAAATTAGCAGAACGGCTAAAAGGCTCCCCGGGGGAAAATGCTGTTCCAGGCTCCCTTTAGTGCTGGTCACACATCTTAAAGTGTATCCAGCAACAATGTTAAATGTTGTGTAATTGTAACAATTACAGGTTTGTATTACCTCTTGCAGAGATGACAGTACTCTGAGCCATCGCTGCTTAGGCATCATCCAGGGTCAGCATCTACTTCCCTGACTGAGATTCTGGGTCACAGGTGACACCAGTCATGTAAATCCTGGTGCCTGGGTTTACAAATCTATGACACAGATAAGCCCTGCTGCAGCCTCTCACCTTGTTACAATGTTGCAATATGGTGACACAGAGGAGTGCTCATGGTAAAATCCTTTTCTGCAGTAGTTGATTGGAGGACACATGGCTCTAGTCTTAGGCTAGGTTCACATTACGGAGGACCGCGCGATCGTGCACGATTGCACACAGCGATTGCCGCGCGGCCCCATTTATTTCAATGGGGTTATATCATGTACCTTTTTATTTTTTTGACACACATCATGCGTTTTTTGAACCACAATCGCACGGGCGGTATGACAATCTGCCTGGCACGACTGGGGTGCCATTAGAAAATACTAACTTTCACTACGATTAGAAAATAATGGCACTGCCAGCGCGATCGGCTGTGGTATGCGATTACGTGACCGTGTGGTTTCGTGCGAGATCCCCTGGTGTGAAACAAGCCTGAAACATTTTGGTATACTGTCTCCTACAGGATGTTTGTAAACTATGTAAAGCTGAAGGGGTCAGCTCCCTCTAGTGGTTATACTTCTGCATAGAAGAGGGAAAATCCTTCCCAACAGATACAACTTGACTGTGCCAACATAAACAAGAACCCCAAAAAGGGGGAAGGTAGCTGAGTCCTGCAATGTTTAGAGGTCACAGCACTCTAGTCTTCAATGCCTGGGACCTCCAATAGCAGTCCCAAAACTAAGTGGCAGGCAAGGACACCCAACAGAAAAAAAAAGGGGGCAAGCCCCTGCAATCCCCAAGAAGAAGTAGTGTTACTGATCGCATAGCCGCCTGCAGGGCTTTCCATCTGGAGATAGCATCCGCCAATGCAGTCACATCTATCCAGTAGAATTTGAAAGAGTGGATGGAGGAACAGACCTAGGCTCTGCAAAGCCAGGAGACCAAAGCCTGGTGTTGGGAAGCCCGGGGAGCTCTCACCACCCTGGCAGAATGCACAGTGATGAGAAACGAGGGATCATCTCTATATGGTTGTATCAGAAGTTGGATCACCTTTGTGAGGAACGTCTGGGATTATAAACAGAGAATTGGTCATTTTAAGGGAAGCCCTTAGAAGCATGAAAAAATTATAAGGCATTCTAGTAGGTTTATTAGTTTGTCAAACAAAATAATTCCTAGAAAATAAAGTGTGTATTTTTATCCATGGTGGTCAACTTATTTGTTACAGAGATTCAGTTAATGTAATAACATAGAAAGCTGACAGAGGCTGCAGACATACGACAGGAGGTGGTCAGAGACATTGGGAATGCTACAAGAGATGGTCAAAGACTGTGGACATACTACGGGAGTTGGCCAGCAACTGTAGACATGCTACAAGAGATGGTCAGTGACTGTAGACATGCTACAAGAGATGGTCAGTGACTAGACATGCTACAAGAGATGGTCAGTGACTGAAGACATGCTACAAGAGATGGTCAGTGATGGTCAGTGACTGTGGACATGCTACAAGAGATGGTCAGTGACTGGAGACATGCTACAAGAGATGGTCAGTGACTGTAGACATGCTACAAGAGATGGTCAGTGACTGTGGACATGCTACGAGAAATGGCCAGTGATTGTGGGCATGCTACAAGATATGGCCAGCAATTGTGAACATGCTACAAGAGCCAGTCAGAGACTGCAAACATGTACAGGAGATGGCCAAGGATTGCAGGAGACAGAGACTGCAAAAATACTATAGGAGCTGGAGAATGGACACATGCATCAGAAGAAAGTCATAGACTGAAGACACATTACATGAGACTGTCCATGTTGAGAATCCAACAAGTTGGGGGGGAGGGGGGGGGGGAAACTCGGCCACTTCATCAGGACTTCTTGGCCCTGATTAAGAGGGTGAGTGTGGGCCTCCCAAATTATTTGGGATTCCTTATTTGGTCTTTTAACTGATCTTACATTGGAATACATTTGCATGTGGGTCTGTAGTGAGGCACTTAAATCTTAGATCCAGTGATTTGTGCTACAAACCAAGGAACTTGGGGTGAATCCTTTGGTGGGTAGAAGCTTCGAGTCCAGAAACCAGACAAGTTGTACCAACACCATTGCACTACTAATGGATATCAATACCAATAGGATAACCCCAAGGTTCCAGAGCTACCTATTCATTTTTCCAAGTAGAGGGTTCCAACTCTTCCCTCCTCTATAAAGACCAAATATTAAAGGGTTGGTTATAAATACACCTTAAAATAAACAATTGTGACATACAGTAAGTGCCCAGTTTCACATCACTAAATTATTATGAAAAATACCATAAAGAAACCGGCTCTTACCTTTACATGGCTGAAATCACTAGACTTGCTGCTCTCCGGTGGGTTAAAGGGTTTTGTTTCGGCCCTGGGTTTGACAATGTGTCGGAAGGGACTGGAGACCGGTAGACCACTGACACTGATGCCATCTGAGAAAATAGATAAGTAACGTTTTATTTTATTGGACCAACAAGGCTTTGGGTCCCACAGCTTGGACAGCTTTCTCCCTGGAATTCTGAATGCAAACCTTTCTTTTTTTTAGGAAATGTACCCCAGCAGCATAAAAAAGCAGGAGCTGTCCCCCACAGTAAATCCTTTTGGCCACAAGATGTGATTGCTCTTCTGGGTTGAATGATGCTCAGAGTTCAAACTGGAACATTGAGGACATAATGTGGATGCAGGGTGTCATGGGCCTGGTCTCTGAGGGGGAGTCACCATTGTGCCCTGTACTCACATTGTAATGCTGCAAACGGTGATGATGTCAGCACCGCCCTACTCATTATTGAGAACTGGCCACAGCCAGTAAAGATTCAAAGAGGACCCTACTCGTCACATAACCAGCCTTAAAAATGAAATAGTGAGTGTTAAAAAAAAAAATGTAAATACACAATGGGAGGCCTCCAGTGGGGAGCATCAGGGCTAATCCCAGAGACAGACCTTAAGATCAGTGCATGCTTCCCTATGACTTGTCACATCTACACAACTTAGGGTTGAGATGGCATTCCACCCACCGCAAACATCATGCAATCTTTGGCAGGCCAAAAAATTGGGATGGGTTCAGCTATGGTGTGATATTTCCTGTAATATTTGGTAAGGAGAGTGAAGGATGTTGGGATATGGCTTCTGCAGGTAAGATGTGGCTTACTTATGGAATTATAGGGCTAAAAAAAATTTAAATGGCTACAGATAGTCTTCAATGTGAACCTGCTATGGTTTAAAAAGATATCTGTGTTGGGCTTCATTCAGATTGGCCAATGGGCTGCTGCATTCAGGTATGGCTCAATCCCACATCTGGACACGGCAGAACTCTGTGTAATGACCACATACAAACTGGATGATTAGCTGGGTCTAGTTTGTACATGGCCAGAACCGCCAGCCCTGGATGCAAACTGTCCCCATGCAGGGCAGGTCAGAAGCCCTAATCCCATAAAACTGTTGATACGAGCCATTACTTGCAAACAGCAGTGATGCCAACCATTGCCTTGTACACAAATCTTACTGCGGCTGATCGCACTCTACACGTGCATGAGGCTAGTATCTCTACCTAGTTAGAATTGCAGACTTTTGCTGGCAGTCACCCATGTAAATGAGGCTTAAGCCGTCAAATCAGTTGCTATGTTAGAATGGACACTAGGCTCATGATACTGTATTGTACATACACTGTACAATTTATATTCTGTAAATAGATCTTTTCAGGCACACACACAGGAAATAGATGGTTGGTGTGCTCAGCTAACCAAGTGCATTGTTAAGCTGAACAACTATTTACAGAAAAGCTGGTTTCTCACAATTGGCAAATGGGGTAGAGTGCCTTCCATTCAGCCGAACTTGTTTTCTGGCAATGGTATAGCTGCCCTCTATTGTTTCTCCATTATTCGTATCTAGCTTACTTACGATTGGATACAGTTATAGGGAAACTTTGTGTAAACAGCACGCCTAGGCTGGTCAGTCTCATTGGCACCTGACTGACTGTTGATGGCATTTATGGTACTGTGCTGCCTTCTAGAGTGGAAAAGGCAAGATACACATGGCATAGGTTTTATTACAAGTGTTAAGGGGCATTGCCAACAGGTGGGCTACCAAAAATTCTGACTAAAAAGCCAGAAGCCCAAAGTGAAGGGGAACTTCAGAGGAGGAGGACCTCAAGATAATAAGTTGACCAAGCAGGACTTCACTGAAACAAAGGACTTTGAGAGAGACTGCAACCAGAAGCCAGTTTTCCTGTGAATGCTTAATAGCCACAAAGCCCAGATCGAATACAGAATTTACAACTAGAAGCTAAGTACCTTTAGCACATCCTCATATAGAGACCATTCCATGCACTAGCAAAGTGTAGAGGATGTGTGTGTATGTGTGTTGTAGCAGCCTGTATGTTTGCTTAGCCTCTGGAGGGGAAAGGGATTAATGTTGACTTTGAGAGTTCAAGATCCTGCGTAAAATGGGGTTCTCATTCTTCGCCTATACTCCAAAGCCTGACTGGTCACAGCCCTCTGATGTCATCCTGTACAAAGCAGCAATAATAGTCCTGGCATTTTATGTGAGGATGCTGATGGTTCACCCACAGCTTACTCACAATTGGATACAGTTATAGGGAAACTTTGTGTAAACATCACGCCTAGGCTGGTCAGACTCGTTGGCACCTGACTGAGCGGAGAAGAGTGGGGGATCGAGAAATAAGGTAAGGTGGGGATATGTTGCCTGATCAAGATAGGTTGATCAGGCAACCTATCCCCACCACAAGGGTAAAGGTTTCTTTTCACTGAAGTTCAGCTTTAAACACTTTCGAAGGCCATAACAGGTTGACCTAAAAGGTTCTACCAAGAGCAAAATGGGCGCAAGCCCCACCAATGCAGGAAGGGGAGTGGATGCGTCCATGCCGAGGCACAGTCACATTGTTCTATATACACAGAAGCTGCATAATTTGGCAACATATGTAGCAGCAGGCAGGCAGGAAAAGCCAATTTAGACCTTCATGAAGCGTTGAGAAGAATGCCAATTAGAACTGAGCGGAAAACGTCAAAAAATACAAAGGTGATCTTGGGCTTCAAATAACCGGATTACACCATCCATCTATCCCGGCAGCATGTTCATTTCCACTGCAAATAAATGAAGTCGGCGCGAACAAGGACACTCGCTTATGTGCAGAACTAAAAATAGACCATTGTATCTCTCGGTTTAATTACATATTATGTATTCACTGCTGGTAAACGGCTGAGCAATAAAAATTATCATAATGAAAAAAGAAAAAAAAAACGCAGCATGAAATAAAGACGGAATCCTACACAAATAAAACACATTTACATACACGCATTTACAAATAAAACACATTAACACTCATTTACATAAACGTCCATTTGCATTTGCAGCGGAGATACTTTTCAGGAAACGAAAACGAACACACAGGGGATGTTATATAACTTTGTGAGCTCAACCAAACCTTTAGTATAAATCAGCAAATGCATTCCAGGTGCATAAAAAAAAAAAGTGTGCAAAGTGTTAAGGATTTCACCTTTGAAAAGTAGCCACAGTCTGAATATGAAAGCCTGACCGCTGCCAGCATACTTGTTCTTTGCATGGAAGCCTTGGTCTCTCTGCAGAGCTTCAACATGCCCCCCCCCCCCTGCTGAGCCTGAGCTCTGCAACCACCTGGGAGCATGCAAATTATTGATTGCAAAGCCATAAGTCTATAAGGGCATGTCAGACTTCTGCTTTATCACAGAGAGCTAGTGCCCTTCTCTACAGCATGCACAACATTTGTTTCGATGGAACCGGGCGGTATTTAGATGATGGTAACTGAAAGTTTAATTGGGATTTAAATAGGGATGCACCGCTGCTCGTACTCATAATCTCCCAAATGCTCCAATACCTTCCCAGATACCAGAACTTCAGGTCAGAGGAAGGGGAACATAGAGCCAGCTTCCAATGCGATCAGGAAGCTGGGAGGCGAGTAATGACCCGCCTCCCGGCTACCTGATTGGCTGGGAAGCCGGCTACATGTCAGCAGAAGCACCCGTATAGGTACTCTGTATCGACGAGTACCGAAAGCAAAGTATTGGTACTCATACTCGATACCGAAAAACTGGTATCGGTGCATCCCTAGATTTAAAGGTAATGTATATATTTTAATGTATATATATTCTACCCCGTTCTCGCTTTCAAAAACTCATGAGGGGGGAATTTAACAAAACTGAAGCAGAAAGGATATGGAGCAGTTGCCATTATTAACCAATCAGATTCTCTCTTCTATTTGTTCAGTTAAGCCTTGAAAATGAAAGATAGAAGCTGTTGGTTTCCATGGTGTCAGAGATCATCTGTTAGTGCGCAGGGTCCCGTTTTCCATACCATTGTAAAACGGGCACTTGCGCACATGCACGCGCGCCACGGAAATGGTCGTGAAAAAGCGTGCCAAACAGCACACAGGAAGTGACGCAATGTGCTAATGCATCACACTATTTAAACCCAGCCTGCCTGTCTCCAAATTGCTGGATTGTCTTTCAGCTCCCCTGTGTTCCTGTGATTCCTTTGCCTTGTGATTCCTTTGTGCCTGACTTCTGACCCGGATTTGTTCATGACCATTCTTGCTTACTGCCTGCCCCTGACCTTGGATCGTTTACTGGACTTTGCCTCTGCTTCATCCCTTTTGTACCTTGCCTGCCCGATTGGTGTGACCTTGGCTCGTTTGACCCTGATTACGGATCCTGCCCTGCTCTGTCCAGCTTGCACGGTGTAATCACCACTGGCACCCGTACCACTCGCTGCCTGTTTGGACTATGTCCTCAACTCCAGAATCCTCGGGACACAAGGTGCAATGGAGGTCTCCTCACACATTCATTCTCCAACCCGGTACGTGACACATGAGTAACTGCTCCAGATTTTGTCTTCTCCAGTTTTGATAGATTCCCCTCATAATGCTTTGTGAACTATGTTTCATCCCGTTTCCTATACATTTATATGGAACAAAAAAAACACGCAGCTGCAGCTACAGGCGTATTTAATGCTGTATGCAAATAAGCCTGCATTTGTTTCTGAATACACCCTTGTGCAGGGACGAGGTATAGAAAGTCATTGTCTTCCTATATTTCAAATGACTAAAAATAATTCCTCTGTACTGCACTCATCTGATGATACTATACTGTGGATTCAACTTGTGTGTCTTATTGAAGAGTTAAGCTGCCTGTGGATTGTGCCGAGTCAGCAAGTGGCATTTGAAACAGAACACACATTAAAACCTAACCCTACTTAGGATTTTTTTTTCCTTTTGGGATAAAGGAAAGTAATGAATACAAGCTGATCATTGTTTTTCAATGGTTTGTCTTAACCCTCCAATTGCCAGTTTTGCTGGCCTGATAAAGGAAGTTGAAAGAGAACAATCTTACTGGCTGGATCACCAGGTTATAAAAGTATGTTATGACTCAGAAATAAAACACTT